TGATATATAAATAGCAAAATTGTTTTCATTATCGTGGTCTTCATTCATAAGGACAATACAATATATCTACTAACAATGAAATTCAGGAAGTATCCTTTGGCATTAGCCGAATAATAAACCAATCATATCATAAAGATCAAAATAGATCAATAATTATTCGTGGAAACTAAACAATGTGTATGTGAGTGATACATGTATAAATGTGACCGGTGGTATCATAAAACGTGATATAACGTCCCAATAGTCGATAATTTTGTAAACATTATGATTTTCATTAAGACATATATTTTGTGTGGGAAACTTTAATAGCTTAATGTCTCACTCAGAATGATTTGTTGCTTACAAAAACTTCCCTAATTTATCGACTGTTAAATGTGAACGAAAATGATCAAAGAGCTTAAAATATTTATTAAAAACATTAATATAACACTACAATGAAACAATAGTATGACGTCACCATACAACTCAATGGTGAACACCCAGTACTTGGCCAATCCTTACCTCGAGATATTGGTTATCACTGGTAAATAATCATATATCGTGTATTGCTTTATTGTATAAAGGTTCATTGTCAAGTACTAGGTAATTTAAGACCATATAGATATATTCTCGTTTTGCTATTTCACCCTTGAACCATGTATTTCTATTTGTGTCGACACTGAATGGGCTATTCAACACTATCTTACTGCTTTCTGCTAATTACTGGTATGATTTTTCTTTAAAAATGTTTCAAATTATGCGAATTATATTAACAATTTCATGTAAGTAACAAATGCGTACAAAACAACTTATTCTGTAGGCGCTTCACTTGCATCAGGAACAAAACATCTGTAGCTTTTAATGCACTAAATAGAAAATAACGTTTGATTGGTTGGCTAATAGTATCAACTGGTATTATACCTTATGTCATCACAGGCAGGGCAGTTGCCAGATCCTGGCCGCAGGTCGGTGGTGTTCTACCGAAACTCCGGCTCCCTCCACCGCCAAACCCTGGCACGCCCTTAAATGACCAAAACTGTAAATATGACGTAAACAAAAACAAACCAAACCAATCGTGACAGATGGACTTATCGAATTTCGTGTATCTTTAATGCAGTGAAGAAGAACGTTTTAATACAATTGATAATTTTCTGATATTTCACTTGTTAAAAGTGTTGTTGTGACATTATTTCATATATTACTTTTAGTGTTATTATGTGCATTTGTGGTATACGTTATTAGCTAGGTACTGTATTGTAAACCAAGATATAATCTATATCAGCAAGTGTTGCCTCCCTTACAATAAGAATTGGGTTTTTTTATCTATCGATATTTGTCAGTTTCATGTGGTATCTAATTTGTTTTTGCAAAATTTTTGTCAGAGCTTTTTAAACAAATCAATTTGAAACTTCAATTTAATTATAAAGGATTTTCCGTTTACGATATTTTCACTATTTTTATCCTTGCCTATCATTATCATTTGTTTGAACAGTGATAACATTTTGACGTAACGATGTTAAAGAAGGACCAGACATTGACACGTGTACCAGTCGTCCATGTTACATCTAGCCTAGACTATGAGAATGTGCTATAGTATGAAATTGAGATATCGTTTTCCGACTTGTTGCACGTAGGTGGAAAGATTGGTTTTGGTTTGTTTTAACCAACACCAACATATATCCGTATAACATATAAAAGTCTGGATGTGGTGTCACGCCCATCACACAAACTTTTCATCCCCGAAATTGATTAATAATAAGCTCAGCAATTGGTGAACTATGATTGTAATAGAAGCGCTAGCGAGCAATAATGCATTCATTCCATAGTGATGCAGACAGCAGAACTTATCGTACCTAACACGTAATATCTCCTCCAGCTAATAAACACTGATAAAAACAGGTCCTGGTTAGCTTGACTCTTATTGATATGTGTGTATAGACGCTGTATGTACGCGGGGTTGTGTGATCGTGAAATTAACCCGTATACATCACGATAAAGAATTTCCGATACTCAATCCATGTGATTACCTACGGTAGTCTACGTGAATGCAAGGAGCAGCTAAAGTGGTAATAAAATCACACACAAAAAATAATGTAAAGCGTAAATTGAGAGGTAGTGCAATCTGGAAATTATAACCTCATCTGATTTAGTAATACACATGTGATTTATTACACCTGAACCTATTTATACACCTGTAGAATATCAGTCCCACTTGAATATTTTTGAAAATAGAAAAAAATAGCATTTCCTTTTACTAAATACATGTATAATGTAATATCAGCAAATTGGTCGTTTGAATTTTTGACCTACACTATAATATCGTTTTTTTAGTTTTGTATTTGATATGTGTTGACATGGTGCAATATATTTCAACAACATGAAACATATCCCGGTTTACCTATACTTCTACGCCTCCATCCGTAATGCGCTTAATAAAATGAGATTGTGACGTCGTCCGTTGTGAAATAAGAAACGATAATCTCTATAATTTCCAACAAAGCTTTATATAATTTACAATATTATTCCTAATCTTCTACAAATTTGGGATTGTTATATTAGTTTAGTCATACAACTTGTCTTACAATATGTGGATGAAAGGAATTTTTTTCTTCTAAGAAAGAGTGAAATTGTTAGACTGCAATTGCAATGTTCATACTGGGTTTTTTTTTTAAAAAAAAGAGTCCTTTTGTAATATTCTCATTTACCCTGGCAGGTATGCTCTCTGTCAAAATCAATAAGATGAAATATTTTGAAAAGTGTCTCATATCTGTTCTTCATACGAAAGAAGCATGTTGATGACTGCTCCGTAAGCATCTCCATATGGCGATGCAATGATGATTCAGTCACTGTCAACACGGTGTATAATCATAGCGGTTTTCTGTCAATGCTGGTACTATTTTTCATTTCATCTTTTCTTTTAGTTGTTGACAATCAAATAGCAGTGTAAGATTAATTAAGTGTCCGTCAAGGGCCGTTGTCACTGATGTAAATGTCATGTTTTGGACGATTTTAACACTTTTTGTTCGGTCTGCAACGTGTTACAGCCATAAGACTTGAACATTTCACTTAGTACAGAACATGTAGGTTTTATTATTTTAACAGATGTTAGGCAGTTCCTATTTATTGAACTGTAAAACTTACTTTTAACAATTAAAAAGGCAACAAAGTAATGAACTTACAAGAAAAGATTTTTTGTTTTCAAATTAAAACTGTAAAATGTTGTGACGAAGTGAGCTCTTCGACACCTAAATGAACATGTTAATATGATATGGGGACGAATGTAGCCCGGTCGGCTTACCAGCAGGGGAGTATAGGGAAGGTGCTGTGTTGGTGGGATAACTCGTATCTAAGTAATTTACCGTTACTTAGGGCATGGCTATCGAATAATCAACTAACGGACAGTGACCCCCAGAATAACTGTCCATATATAATGAACAGAAATCCATCTCCCGTTTGGTAGTAGTGTATGGGGTAACGGGGATGTTGGATACACAAACAACTGTCTGCATCTGCACAAACCAGTAATTAAAGATAGCTACAAATTGACTAAGTGTAATAGGGGGAAGTCCGGAGAGGGTTTGCATCCGTTGTCACTTCGTTACATCCGTTTCGTGATCGTATAGTTTTTGGTAATGGTAACGAGTCGACAACTTCCCCTGCAGTCCTCTCTAGACCTCGCCTCTTTCGTCAGGTTACAGACCTGTTTTCACTACAGGTTCGAACACTGGATGTAGTGGTAATACAAGCAATTAATTCAATAACTCAACAAGGTGTTTCAAAATACAAGTAACTGTTTATTAACAAGACGGAATGAATATGTATAACAAGTTTAACAAATACAAAGCATAGCATGAGTGCCAAACAATGACAGCTAATGTTAGCAAACCCTATCACTAGTTATGTAGAGTAATGGCCTAGCCTTCATAACAGTACTACCAGTAGACTACGACCACGTGCTCCTAGCTCCCTATAGATCTACAGCGAACCACCATGTAACGATACCTAAGCCCGAAGCCCCTGACTATCCCTTAATACATGAACTGTAGTTCCTATAGCACTCTATATATCATAGGAACGATAACTTCATGTAGTCCTACGGTATTGGTACTGTTAGCAGCACCTCGGCCCATGTTTTGCACTGTTAACAGCGCATGAGGCGGTAAGGTTCTCCTCACCAGGAGAAGTGGGTCGGCTCACCGACCCTGTCAAGGCACTGATCCCCGCCCAGACCCGCTGTTTTATACCCCCTGCTCCCCCACCAAATAGCCTCGAAGATGAGTGACCGACTGTTTATCTCGAACCCAGCCTCACCATCTAAAAGCATGTGAACGAGGAGCGGGAACCTATTTCTGTTTTTTCAATCACCCACTTCCGGCCGTCTCAAAAGTGTAAACACACAGATTTAAGCACCGGTGTCGTAGTAGCTGATCTCCAGGAATCCGACACTGAACGAAAAACCCTACCCTAAATAAGAGTGAATAACACAGAAAGTAGCAGAGCCCTGTCTGTAATTCATAAACAACAATCATACTTATCAAAGTAATACAAATGTGGGAGGTAAACAACCTATCTTCTTACACTAGTATGGGTTCATATTACTGCACGTAGATAAGATGTTGGTACCATGTGTACATGTAGTTGAAATGTGTCCGTGATTTAATCTATAAATCAACGATGGCTGTTACCAACTATTACGTGTCTTTACGGCTACTGTGTTACAATGTACTGCCCGGTGAAACCAAATCAATCTCACACATCTATGTTCATTCATGCGTCGAACTCTTTCAAAATGATCACATTTTACTGAAATTACTTCATCATTAAAATAAAGATGTTTTCTTTGCCTCGCTGGTTACACAACCGTGCATGATCGTGTATATTTGTGATTCCAATTGTTGCTGTGCTGTATAGTTTAAGTGATCGTGATTATGCGAAAAAAGTGGTTTTTCCATATAAACCTCGAGGTTATGACGTCACAATCACACTTGTCCTGTAGTGTGACACTAGCAGTGTAATAACAAGAACTTAGGTTGTCCTTTACTATCGACATCATGTGATCTACTGATATTTCTTGATAACATTAGTTATATATATGTACACCAGTTGATCTGAGGCAAGCAGAGTGATACCTCTTATGTATAATCTACGGTGTTACGAGACTTGTGTGACTTAAACGAGGACATACTGTATGTCTCATGCGACAGATCGCATTGTATTTATCTGGTGCTGTTAGTATGAGGATAACAACAACAAAACAACAACAATACCAATATCGAACTATCAACAACAACGAAAAAACAACAGTAGCAGCAGCAACAACAATAACATGTAAATACAGGCTATAACAATATATCTTAAGTGTTTAGCATCGTGTACGTTTTTTCTAAGGTAAGGTGGAACTATTTTACTGATAACATATTATACTTCCGTTTTAGTGAAAACAGTTTCTACTTTAAATGTGACCATGGCTACGTCATATGGATATGACGTAACAAGTCCGTTAACTAACATTCCTTTAAGAAATATATCGGATATTGTCGAGTTGGAGGATTTGTCAATGGCTGTGTTTATCGTTACATTTGTAGCGAGTGTGATTTCTATAATCTCCGCCATTGTTTTCGTGTGTGCTTTTACGAAATATAGGGACTGTAATACTCAAAATACACTGATAATTTGCCTCACTATAGCTAACGGATTAACATGCGTCGGGATTGTTATGGGCGCATTCCATTACAAGAAGGACATACCCTTTGGAAACAGTGGGACTTTCTGCTTGGTACAGAGTGTAATTTGCACGTACTTTGACATAGTGGCTGACATTTATACGCTATATGTGGAGGTAAACATTTGCAGTCAACTTGCATTTAACTATATCTTCATGGAACGTCGGCTGGCTAAAATATTTTACCATGCATTAGCATGGAGTATCCCATGTAAGTAACACCCATTTATAGAATTAGCCTGTTGTATCCCACTTCACGAAGTCGTATGAGGCGACTAATTTAGGGCTCCTGCAGAGTAGGGGGTTTTCGTCTGTCTTCTACTTAGGGACATTAAAAATTCAAATAATATCTACTGCCTACTGCCGGGGTGTTTTGTTTAGTTTGATTGTGTAACACAATATCTATCATATCTGATCTTTTGAACTTTCTTACTCTTTCTTAGATTATTTTTTACTTTATGGCTAAAGAGTTGCCAAATTTGTTATTTTTATTTTGTCGATATATCGTTTATATCTTGGAAAGGCACATTTCTCCATTTTGCTGCATTCCCACATATGTTTTGGACACTTAAGAATTGTATTTTTTATCTTAATGATATACTGATATACAGCATTTGATATAGCGTCCTATCTAGCTAACACAAGCCACTCTAAAGTGCTTTACAGTACATAGATATAGCGCCCTATCTAACTAACATAAGCCACTCTAAAGCGCTTTACAGTACATAGATATACAATTAGCATATACATTAATCAATAAAATTTTGAGGAATTTGCAGGAGATGCCATATCAGGCGCTAACTACTAGGGTTATCTTTCTTGGTGCAGTTTTGTAATAACTCTAATGAATCGTAAATGGACGAGATGGACATAAAGTCGACACAATGCTTGCTTTGTTCGACTCTCTGCATCGATAAACGGATTTGTTTTAATTGGTTCCTACTTACTTCGTATTTATAGCACTTTTTTACGTATCAAGTTGTCCAACGATAGTCTTAAACGTTTAGCTGGAATATGAGTCTGACAGGGCTTACATGGAATACTAGTTGACTACATACTATCTGTTGTTATTAATATATTAAACATGTTCATTTGTAGGAAGTAAGTTTTGTTTGCCACATGCTGGGGCTTGCATGTATGCATGCTAACTATCCAATAACACCATATTTTGGCTATTTCTGCGTAGCAACGCAACTGTATTGCTATGGTAGGGCATACACGCATGCGTATTGGAAAAAAACTGCACCATGAAAGTTAGCCCCAATTAACCAATGTGATGTTTATAACAGAAATGTGCAAATAAGTTCAAGTTGAATTTTTTACTTTTTATGCGGCCAAAAGTGACCCAAACCGCCACAACACCTTTGTAACGTTATAAAGCGTTAGGTAGACACCCCTCTCTACCCAATGCATTCCATATGTGATTCGGAACAGTTTAGACGTGGATATTAAAATTCTATTGACCTTTAGTGAACAACTGATGCGTCTTCAATAGAAAATAATGACCGCAGTACAAAATTTACTTTGTCTTGCCTTATCTTTCTTGTATCTGCAAATAACATTTTTAGAGTGCTTTCTTGCCCTGTATTGTAACTAGTAAATTTCTAGATTTTAAAATTTATAAATTTAGGGAATTTACGCAACTTCCTTTCTGTTTCATAGGTGGTTAAGACCAATTGGTATTTTCAGCTTTTTAGCTCCTATCATCAACGACGAGTCGTAGAAGGACGAAACAGCTGAATAATGCAGTGTAATTCTTTTTTGGCATACTTTATCTATTACTAACTTTTAAAGTTGCAAACACTTGTGTGATTGTGTGACGTTCATTTTTCATTTTTCTAGTAATCGTCCAAAAACAGTCGATATCTTTTTGAGTAGTGTTTTATCCTCGATACTCCAGGGGTTACACTCACTTAAGTTTTTTGCACCCATGGAATATGTCTTAGCAAAATTGAAGGCACGCTACGCTGCTAGCTTTTTGATTGGTCTCAGGTAACACTACCTGCCCAATCGCTAGGCTGATACCTGTCCTTTGAAGATTACAGAAGAGCGACACCCGACTTCAACGGAAGTCAATGTTACCATTTGGGATCGACAGATTCTTTTGATGTACTAGTACTTCAAATCTATAAGGTGGTGCACATTGATCTTTCAATATTTCAGGAGTGTAGAGAGCGTAAGTGAGCGTAACCCATGGATTATCGAGGATGATGTAAATCTTACCAAAATGCGTTCAAGCTACAAGGTTAGAGATTATTCGGATACTGGTAGTTCACAAGTAGAGTGACCCACTCTGTGATAGAAAATAGCCACTAGAATAAAACGAAGAAATCGATATGACATAACTCTAATAACTGTTTTCAAATACCATCAGTGATCATAGTGGGTGTCGGCTGGTCAAGAAATGCCTTAGGGGAGTCTGCTAGTCTGGACGGTTCCTGGTGTTGGATCAGCGACTCCATATCAGACAGGGAGGAGTGGATCTGGATGGTTGTCACTAAACAAGGATGGGAGATGGTGGTCTATTTAGGAACATGTTTTATGTTCATTATCATTGGGTATCAACGCTTCTGCAGAAATACAAGACGTTTGCTTCCAAGTCATTATAATGTGACAACAGATGAAATGTCCACTGCAATAAACGTACGTTCTTATGCCTTTTTATAGTGAACTACACGTTATTTAGTCTTATATACTACTATGTATTGAGATAATCTTATGTTTGGCGCCGTCCATCGCCCGTCGTCCGTCCTTAAAACAATCGATAGTATTTACTTCTCACAAAAGACACTGCACCAGGTTCAATATATGACATATGAGGGGCGGGGCCAAAGGAGCCAAAAAGGCAATCATTTCAACAATCGTTTCCCGTTTTCTGCCAGATTATGTTGCAATGAAGTACTCCCCACGGATGGAAGGGTCTTAAGGTTCATTATTAAAATTGTGATTTTTGCTACCCCCATGTCACCCATTCCACCCTATGAAGGGGTTGAAGTTTAGTAAGGTTTATATAGCGAAATAACCCTTTTGGGCATTTTCGGTGGAAAGAATTGAAAGAATTCAAACTATGTTAGAGTTATCATCATTGGATTGTAGTTTGATGCTATCAAATGTAACACCATGTCTTGTCCCAAGAGGCCCGTGGGGTTGAACCAAAAATTGTCAAATTATGACCAAGATATGCTGGAATATTATCCTTTTCATGGATGGAAATGTTCTGAGGTGCTTTATCAAAATTGTAACTTTCATTACCCCTGGGTCACCCATTTTTATTTGGGGAAGGGGTGAATATACTTCATTACATGGTTTGATGATTTTATTAAAATTGCAAGCTATATATATTTGTCACTTCCCAACAACATTTTGTCAAAAAACCATCACATTACAACAATGTATATAACTATTGTATCTAAACTCAGATATCCGTTAACGCACATGGGCCTCTTGTCATAACGTATGTGTTTAAACAAATTCCAAGAAAAATAAAATAAAACCCATCTCGTTTGTGTCGGATTTTTCCCCCAGCAAGAATTAACCATTTAAACAACAATTATGTGGATTCTTCGGAATGAAAACGTTGTTTAACAAACGTATCTTTGACAATCAAAAATACGTTTTTTTCTATATATCCAATAAGATATTGCTAGTAGAAGAATTACACTTCATATAAACATGTTTTATCTTCACAGGTACCTGGTGAACGGACACAACTTATGACCCGTTCAACTTCATCTCAGAACAGAGGATATCCGACTTTGTCTGTCAACTCTGTCTTAGTCTGGGTAGGAATGTACTTCTACTTTGCAAAAATGTGGGGAACTATCAGGTATGGCGTACACATTTACGAGTTGGCTTTTGATGGAGACGTTTCAGGATTTGGTCCTGCTGAAAAATACTTTTTCATCTTTGCACAAAGTCTCGGAGATAGTCTTCAAGCCACCATTACCTGTTGTGTTTTTGTGCTGAAGGATGCGGAATTGAGAAGGAAAGTGTGCTGTAGAAGGGCAATAAGAATTGAACAGTCTACACATAATCACCAAACGTGATTTTATTGTGTCATGATACTTTTTAATTGTTCAGATTACCTTTGAGTGTTTAATAACTTTATATATCACAACCAGTGTAACGTGAATGTGTGACTTTTCAATGACTAGTACGATATGTACCCTTTCACTTTTATCTGACAAATAATGAGTGAAACGTTAAATATACAAAGATGTGAAATACATACGAGTTTTGGCAATGAAATCACCATCAATTCTGCTACGCTACTGCTAAGGTTATGAACACTTATAGTTGTTAAACATGTTCAAATACCGATCAATGGACGAATCGATTTTACTACGCTTTGTTTAGAATATGGTCATAAATGTGCAAAAGTCTATGAGCTCATCTCGATTAAGAATTTGCCCGCTGCAGATTATCGAAATGTCTCCCTTTATATGCCGGTTGATAAGATTGCTTTCTCGGTTAATCACGTTGGAGTCACCCGAGGAAATAGCATTTATCGGACACAGAATATTTACACCTGAAAGTGTTGCAAGCAAGTCTCTACATTTTAGCGTTAACTCATTGTGATTTCTATGTCTCGCTAATTTATGTTGTATACTTTTTAGCTTACGCAAATCTTTGACATAATCTTTTCGTACTAGTCCGTTTATGTCGGATATTTCTAAATATTTTCATTGGGTTGGTACAGTAGTATTGATGTTAAAGGGGTTCATATAGCACAACCAGTTAACGTTGTATAAACATTCACACGTGCCTGCAATATGAACCGCTATACAATCTATTCATATCAACCTGAAGAACATTTTCAGAAAAAGATGTTTAAATAACTGTTACAAATAAAGGAATTTACTCCCCTATTCGTGGGTCAAGTGGACTCCGTGTTCTATAAACGGAGTAGCGGAGCAGTGCCAAATAGGCGAAATAGTGTTGTTTTTTTTTAATCTACTTTCAAGGTCACTTGGATCAACTATTTAAAAAAGCATTCAACGACTTACTTAAAGGCCTAGAATCATGATATTTAGCTGGTTGCTTCCTGGGACTCACAAAGTTTGGGAATAAGAAATAACCTTCACCTACTTTCTGGGTAACAGGGGTCAAATGTGACAAAAACTTCCATTGACTTATTCTGCAGAACCGAGTAGGGGGAATTCCCACCAAGTTGAATGCTTGCTTTGTTGTATATGTTATATTTGGTGAAAATATTTATATACATCTAGCTTTGACTTTTCTATTTGTAATTGTTGGTAAGACAGAGTTTGATGTGATGTTGATTATATAAAAACTAGAGGCTCTAGTAATCTGAAGAAGCTAATTTAATGTAAGTGCTTTCTTGCTTTTTAAACTCTATGCGAGAAAATTTACTGGCAATATATCATTACAAGGTTTTTTTCCAGCATGATGGTTTTGATCATCTTATCCATTGCAGTACTTTGAATATGGGCATTTTCTTTGACACATTTAATGATTTTAAGCTTTTTTTTTTATCTAAAAAAAGTTTTTTGGGTGTTTTCACCAAATCGACGCCGAGGGAATCAAGTTTATTTCTTTCGCAAACTATATGTATTTATATTTTAGCACTACTGACCAAATTTCATATATATCTGTTCTCCAATATATAACAGTGTTTAAACATTCAAATATTGCAAAATGAACTGCATAATGCTTCCTAGTAACGCATAACGTTTCTTCCTTAATAACCTTTATTGACCCCACAAAAGAGCTAGCCGTAAATTTGAATCGACAAAACCTAGAGATGCGATACTTCCTATTATATATCGGTTATATATCGGTATAAGGATTCCTGAAAAGAAGTCGATCAATGCAAACGTTAAAAGACAAGCAAACGTCGGGCGACAGGTAACAGACGAGGGAAGGTTGCATACTTGGTTATCTGAGATAAAAAAAAAAAAAAAAAGTATCTTCCGCAATAAGTGCACTAGCCTCTGGAGGCTTTACGCTCTGATATTATATGAACTCGTAGATAATTTCTACAATAAAAGACCCAGAACAAACAGTTTAATGCTGTAAGACTTAAACAATATTACCGTCAACTTTGATTCTGTAAATCCTAGTCACAGGGTTACATATTGGTGTTGCTGGGTTGTTAAGGAGTAATTGATGTATGAATCGAGCAGTCGTTCCCGGGATTAAAGCGACGAATTCAGGCTTCAAAAAACTTGTATTCATATTTTGTCTACATTTACAATACATGAATAAATTTATTTAAAATCAAATGAATTAATCTGGGTTTTAAATATAATTCACGACATAAATGTCATTTAAAATGTTCGATTTATTACATAATAACATGCTTACATAAAATGTCTTTTTTCTGGCATATATATAACATGTAAACAACACAATTTGGTTGATGATATATACTAGAAAATGTACGTTCTGATTTAAGTTTTTCCCCCAGCAAAAACATGCTACAATAAATCGGCAAGCAGATTTTGACAATTTGTGAAAAGTGTCAGATATTTCACACAAATTCAATGTTATTGCTAATTTATGATCTTACCAAAATATTACAATATCATATATTATAGAAGAGAAATAGAATATGTGCTGCGTATTGTTAATATTTTGCAGTCTTATACTCAACAATTAATCACATTTTTTCTAATCATGTTGCCAGTCATAAAGACGAAAAATGTAGTTAAAACATGAATTTCAAGTATTTTCTATTAATCACAATTTAAGAAATATTTTCTAATTATATTGCCAGTTATAAGACAAAAAGGGTAATAGAAACATACATTTCATGTGTTTTCTTAAAAAAGGCAATTTATCTCTCTAAACAATTATCTAATCATTCTATCAACAATTATATTGATCAAAAATAAATTTCACATTCATGAATAACTAATTCATTGATATTTAAAACTTATACGAATTAGTGATCAATTATTTTAATCAACCCCACGACGTTGCTTATTGTTCTCTGTAGCTCCATTCAATTTTTGTTGTTCAGATCAATGATACAGAATAGTAAGCCTACAAACAAATAAGACAAAGACTGCACTTTCTTGTTCCTTTTTGAAAATGTGTCCAGTTGATCTACCTTTAATTATTTCTATTGTTTGATTTTATGGCAAGTTACATTTTTGCTACCCGGATGGTAGCTTTATAATTGGTCGCTGTACCAGCCATATTGAGGGGTTTCCACCTGGATATAAATGGTCTATCTTCTTTGATTAGCTCGCTAACATACTTTACACGCAGGTGATTGGTTACCTGCTGTCTGTGATGTCACCATTCGTAGAGGTACAAGTGGGGAAAATAATTGCAAACAAAATATGATGGATAAAGTCAGAGAGATCCGCATGTTCATACCGGATTGTTGGACATTGTTCTGCTATTCCACGCACGGCGGCGCTGTTGTTTGGTTATGCTAATGGTCGGAAACTGATAAAATCAGAGAGCTCCGAATTGGAATATATGTGTGCCATTTCAGGGTCATACTAATACCAGGACCAGGTGCTTTAATGTGTTTCTTTCATGTATTTAAATGCAACTACCTTAATGAATTAGTATGACATGAATAAAAATGTATTTAAGCAAAAGTGTATATTAAAAAAAATATGCATTGCATTTTAATTTAAAACAGAAATCTAAAACATACCAAACATATCGGTCCTGACATTACCAGTCCTGGTTTTGGTAAAAAAGCAAAATCACAAAAGCCGAAATAACAAGTAAAACAGTATTTGAAACATATCTTTCTTATTTTCTTTATGCATTTATGGTGTTCTTGTATTTCCTACATGAAATAACAACATAAAACAAGCTTTAAAATTGAGTTAATAGTACTTAAAATAAAAATTTGGTATCGGTTTTCCCTGTCCTGGTTTTAGTAATGATTGTTTTAGTCCGGGCAGGATTTGGGTCACTTAATCAAAAACAATCAATGGCTTGCAATTACACAATGTAGCGTTTACAATAAGCATTTTATAAGTTAAACAATATTTAAAGAACAAAATATACATAAAAGACAAAGTATTTTGCAAACTGGTCAAGCAATAAAAGGAATAAACAGGGTCATTTTCGGGGTTATAAGGAAAAACCAGAATAAATGTGTGCACTTTTGAAGCAGTTTAATGGAAAATGCACACAGGTTTTTATTAATTGCATAACCCTCAAAATAACCCTTGTTATTCCTTATAGTTTAAATCGAAGACAGGCAACACTCTAAGTTAATGAAGATTCATTTATTTCTGATGAAAATTAAAAAATGAACAAAACACAACACTGCGCTGAAATTTCATCGCCGATCAACTTTAACAAATCAGAAGTTAGAATTTCAAATATCTCGTCAAACATTGCAGTATACGACGTCAACATTTTCTGTGTTTTTAAGGTATACGATATAACCCGAAAAAGTCTACCTTTGGTGCAAAGGGCAAAATCAAATATGGAATCACCCGAATGAACAACCAGCCTATAAGCACGTAACAAACAATTGTACGAAATGGTATAGTAAAACCTGAGAACATAAAGAAAGATACAATAACAAGTTTGTAAAACGATTCAATATCCTGTGTAATACCATGAATTCAATCATAATATTACAACACACATGTACGTAGTGTGTAGGAATAGTGATATGTAATAATAAACAGATCAATATTCAACAAATACTGATTGTAACGGCGGCCCTAACAAAACTTCGAAAACCGACGCCCGTACTCTTAAATGATGCTTAATGAACTTATTGTATTGTTCAAAACAGCATAATACATGTATACCTACAAGCAAAATATGATAAAATCGGCCAATATATAAATTTCGAAAAATCTGAGGCCACGGTAGCCATTTTGGAGACGCAGTTGCAACGTAAAATGTTTCTTTCATATTTTACCATGTCAAACAATATTGACACTGAGTTTCATTATAATCTGCCTTGTTTCAGGGGAAATAGTAGGCAATCTTCCGACCAATCAAAGGCCACGGCGGCCATCTTGGATGAGCAGTTCCAATAGCAAATGTGTCCTACAAATCTAGTCATGAGCCTCAATACTAATGCGAAGTTTCATGGGAATCCGGAATGGAGTTTTCTATAAAACGTTCGGAAAAGTTCAAGACGGAGAGTGATCAGGAAGACAAAGAAAATAAAAAAACCCAGAGCAAACTTTGTTTTGGGTACTAAATAAACCCTAATTTTTACGGGAACCGTTAAAGAATTCATCAACTGTCCCTGTAGTCGCACACGATCCACTACAAAGAGTTTGCAATGTCATAATACACTAAGATAGCATTATTCAGCAAAATTAGACATAAAGGGGGACCTCGGAATGAGATTCAGCAGTGTAATATGAATAATAAAATTCAGTTTTCAATTACTGTTTGTGTACAAAACAAACTATGCATAAAGATGGGGGACCATTGACATCACCTTGGCTACCACTCATGAATGTGTCGATCAATCTGAGGCCAGCACAACCATGACTGATGTAAAGATATAACGCGTATCGCACTCATATCAATACTTACATGAAGGTCGGACCGGGATCTTATATATAACAATTACAAATTTGTGTATCGCCATAAAGGACCAATAACCAGCCGTTTAAAATCCATATATTTCAATATAATGATATTATATTACAAGGAGAAATGCTTCGTTTTCCTATAGTCAACTTTCTCCTATTAAACAATACTTATCTTTTGGTTTTACGTCGTAAATTTTACGTGAAAGGATTGCCTTGAAAATGTTTAACCTTATAGAGCCTTTTAGTGTTGCTTCGTCGATAAACAGTGAACGAACCAAACCCATAAATAATATATGTATGCAAGGCCATTGGAGTATTATGACATGTTCAGTACTCATATATAGAACTTTCACGTTAAACTGCGTTGGTAAAATCCATTTTGCATATTCAAACAAATAACAATATATAGACCACAAGAGCCTTAC